GAGCGGCGAGCCCAGTCACCGACCCTGCAGGCAGCGGGAAGGCGGGGATTCCCTGCGCGCCGCGGGCCGGCGTTTCTCGGCGGAGCGGTGCGGTGCGGTGCGAGTCCCGTCTCACTGTAAATAACAGTAAATGCTTCATTCAGGAGGACTGGCCCGCAAGAGACAATTCAGGGTTTGTGCAGCATACAGGTCCGGTTTCGCCTATAAGCAGGCGACAGAGAGATGCCCGTGCGTGGATCTTGTTCCGTGAGTTTTTGGTGGGGTTTCAGTTGCAGCTCAGTACCGAAGTGCTGAATAAAAATCATGAAGGTGATTTGCAGTGAGGGCAGCTACACCGTGCACAGTGCATCATTGCATTTGATCCTTGTGTTGTTTTTGTAACAAATGCAAAAGGTTGGTTGTGCCTGAAATTTTTTTTCTTTTGTTTGGCGAGAACTTGGTTGTTCTAGCACCTGTTTCTTCTGTGAATTCATCATTATTTGGGTCAGATGGATAGGATGGAAATTTGGGTTGGGTGACATGAAGTGCCCATACACCTGCCTACTACCCTGGTTCACAAGGGGAAATCCCAGCTTGTTAGAGGTCAAAGTACTGGTAGAGTGTATGATGCACTGCTGTACAGTGTGCGCCCATATCCGTACATCAGGTGAAGGTATGAATTAGTTCAGGGATAAATTAATAGTCTTTAATCATGCAGTTGTTTTACATGAGTGACACTTAAAGAATCGTGAGGAATATCTGTTTTGGGTTTACCTTTATTTCAACATTTTGAGTGTTTTGCCTCATTTCTTATTGCTGAGTTGGCTGTTGCTTACTACCTTGCCAAGTGATTAGGTCGTCGCCGTGATGACATTGATGCAGATGTACATCAGCATAAAGACCATTATCGATTGTGAGGGGAATTCATGCAAACAACACATTGACCATCTGGATTTCTTTTTAGGATTAGTTCCAGGTTTCATGGACTTGTTATCAGTAGCATTAATATTATCCATGATATTCAAACAGGAAGAAGTCGAAGTTCTTAAACATTTATTGCATGTTCTGTGTTGCTTGTCTGAACATTGTTACTCTTCAGATCTTGTTCTCTTCTCATTTATTACCTTTTAACTAGAAATGAAAGTTTCATTGTCGGTGACTGACTTTATTGTCCTGTGATTGTTAATTTTTCTATAAATGTTAGCTCAGTCTTAAAAGAACTGAACAAACAAGTTTTCATGCAGTTGAGAACTAAAGTTGCGTATTTCAGATATGGTTAAATCATCATGATTTGTAGTATTATAGATAGTACCGAAAAGAGATGCATTTTTTTTGGCATGGATTTTCTAGGTACATTATCCTTGTTGGCATATATTGAGTTTTTACTGAAGTTGGTAATAACAGTAGTTTTTATAAAGCAAAATACACCTTTTAGATTACATTCCAAATGTTGACATGAGGATTTCTGCAAATTTACAGTGTTAGATGGACGTAAACTTAAAACTCAAGCTGCTTATTGAGAAGTTTCTCAGTACTCCTTACTCAGTAGCTAAATTAATCAGTAGTTTGCATACCATCAAGCTGGAGAGGAACAGGTTGGGCAGGGCCTGCCAGGCTTGATTTTTAAATCCTAACCCTTCAGACACTGGAACGCTGTTAACATTCTCACCTAGTGGATTTTCCAGGTTTCTCACTGCAGTTAGTCTGTCACCCACAGCAGAGGGCACTTCCGATTTAATCAATAGTACACCATTTTTCCACCACCTGTATAGAGAAGCTCCCTTTCAGATATATAGAAAGGAATTTGAACACGCATGCACATGCATTTTCTTCATAAGATCTCCACGATTAATTTTGCAGAGCATCTCTTTAGTTTTGAGTTCTAACACAAGATTGTGTTGCATTGATACTAGAGAAGGTTTGATGGCTGGAAGTGAGTGAAACAATACAAAAAGCACAAGATTTAAAAACAAATAAATTAAATTTGTTGTTACCTTAAACTAAGTAGGATTGATTTTATAGTCCTTTAGCATATAGAGTTTGCCTTATGGAACAGCTGCAGAAAAAAATCTCTGAGAGCTGGAAATACCTATAGCTCCTATTTAGAATACTCTATGATCCTTGTTTCTACCTATTTATCAGGTTAATGAGAAGTTCCTTTGTGCAGAGATATTGGCCAGTGTCTAATAGCTGTTTGGTCTTGGGCTGCGCAGTTAGAAATTGCGTGCATTTTTCCATAGCACAACTCATAAAGTAAAATTAATATATTGCAATAAAATGTGACCTACTGTAATAAAATTACTTAATGAAGGAATTCTATGTTTCCGTACACTTAATACATACCAAGCAAGTACATAATTACTCTTAAGATTATCTCATTTTATTCAGATTCAACTCCTCGTATCTAAAAGTCACAGTCCCCATAATTAAGACCAACTCGACTCTGAATGTGCTTGTAGTCATACCTGGTTCTGCTCCTGAGTAATCCCGTTGATGCCATGACTACTATTTCTGATTTTAAAGTTGAGTATTTGCAAGATCGAGATCTGTGCAGCTGGATACCTTTCTTTTTTGTAATATGTTTTCTTAAAGGTCCTGGTCTGGTTCTTCATTTAGTAGCACAAAGTTGTGTCACTCGGCTGATACGGAAATTAGAGAAATATCTGTGAAGCCACAGCATTAGCGTATTTCTCCATTTCACTATGGAAGAGTACTGAAGGTGGGATATAACTGCAACGATAGTCAAGATAGAGCAGCATAGCTGTGTTGCTTCCAGCACTGTGCTAGAGTTTGCTTAGGACTAGGTTAATGTTGTTACAGACATCTACACTGGACTAAATTGTTCAGTCACTCATATAACTTTTTAAGAAGTTTTGCTTAGTATGTTTATTACCTCTTTTAGAAAGCAAGTCTGTCTTTGCAATTTAATACTAGTCAGATTATTTGTCCTGATTTCTAATGGAATCAGATCTATAGTACCAGGGGGAGAAGGTGTGCATGTCCAAATAACTAGTGTGGTTGATTTCAGTCAGGTTTGACTGAGGTATACAGGTGTCAAAAAGAAGGTGCTACAGGTTTTGTGAGATTAGGGAGCTGTGAAGAGGAAACAAACTCCATCTGTGTCTTGAATGCATATGTTAACAGACACCAGATAATCTGTGTAGACCAGAACATTGCCTTATAAATGTATATAATACAGTGGGAAGAGCTTTAATTTGTACAAGCAAACACCTCACATCTGATCAGAAGGACATTGGGGCTGATTAGTCCCAGTGCTCACTGGATTATTGGTTAATGACTTTTGCTTATTTTGTCCTTGTTATCATGACTTGGCAAACGTCTTCTTTATCACAACAGAATCTTGTCTTTTCCATTTGGATAGGAATGACATTCTATATTTTTCAAAGAAGTAGTTTTACACAAATTATATGCCAATGAGTTGAGTATATGACAAATAAGGCCCAAATTGAAAATAGTATTTCTGCAGATTTCAGTACCTCTGCTGATATGCTATCTTAGGTTTATTTTACTGTAAGTTGAAGAAATAGTACTCTTCACACCTTATTTGAAAGAGAGAATGAAGAAATATCCTTAAATGTTGCTTTTGGCTATACCACGTAATACTGATTCCAGGAAATCATTTCATCTTGCATTCTCCCTTCATCTTTGCTCACACCGATAAGGAAGATGAATGTCTATCCCTTTTTTTCCCACTGTTTGTTTCCTGTCTTCATTCTTTCTTGTGTATCCATTATCAAAGAGACAATTATATAAATGGGATGTAGGCTTCAGAACTTCAATCTGCCAGAATAGGCAAGTCAGATTTTTTGGAACTAATTATGACGACTTAGGAAACTGTGGAAGTACACAGTACAGGGGAAGATGAACTAAATTGTAAGCTGCCACAGTCTTTTAGCTCTTAAACTTGCAAGGCGATGTAAAAAACTTCCTTTTACAATTTTGTTAAAATAATTTCTTGTTTCCTTCCCCTGCAGCAACTGATTAATGCTTAAGCTCATTAATACTTAGATCATACAAACGGTAATATCAGCAATCTGATGAGTAAAATACTGAATTTTGAGCTTGTATTTTGACAAGCACAATGTAGGAAAGAACACATTTTTTACTCATCTTCTGTATAATACACATCTATTCTTTTGCTGGTTTGGGATCTTAAGCAAACCTTCCCTTCAGAAAATGTGTAGTTCCGTGAACACTGGAATTAAAGGAGCCTGGCTTCCTTCAGATTTAGTTCTCTTTGTTGACTGATATTAATATACAAGATGTGAACCTTTCCCTTCATGGGAGCAGTTTATAGATTCTCTGCTTTGTTCAATTACCCGTTTTCCACAAATTTTTGAATTTCTCGGTCCTTAATTGCTTCGCTAGATCTAATGAAGAATGACCAAGAGATTCAGAAGTTTTTAAGGAGTGGAAGCAATGACATGTAATTCCCAGGCATGCACACAGAGGTATGTGTATGCAGTGTGAATACGTGTAACTGCAAAGCCCTGGAAGTTACATTTCAGTATTCTTTTTGTAGGTTACTCCTGTATCCTATTGGATCCTTGGTTAGATGTTATTTTTCAACATGTGTCTTATGTAAACAGAAATTGTGAGAGGACTGTGAAGCTTTTTTTCCTTGTCTTTGTAGGAAAATACATTGGTGCACAGTTGAGACAATGGAGTCCATGCTGAATAAATTGAAGAGTACCGTTACAAAGGTAACGGCTGATGTCACCAGTGCAGTCATGGGAAATCCTGTTACCAGGGAATTTGATGTTGGCCGACATATTGCCAGTGGTGGTAATGGTCTTGCTTGGAAGATATTTAATGGAACTAAAAAATCAACAAAACAGGTGGGTTGTCAAGTAAAAACCTAAGTTTATAAGCGTTAGATAACAGACTGATAGGTAGCAGTTGATAAGTGACATTTAAAAATGAAGTCCAACTGGGCAGAGAACTGCTAAGGGTAGTACCGTAAGTAAAATGAAACAAAGAACTCAAGATTATTTAAATATAATATTCTCAGCAACGTAGATGATAATTGCTTTAAACCTTCACTGCTGGAGAAAGAAGAGGTTCTGCATTCATAGTATGCAATTCAAGACCTAGATCAAGAATTGATCTGAGTTGAAACTGTATCTGACAAGAAGGAAGAAGTTTCTTTTAACATGGATTGGTTCCCCAGTTTGTTTTACCTTGTAGCTTTTTTTTGGCAGCTGTACTGGCTTTTTACAGTTTAAAATAAAGGTGAAGTATGCCATCATTTGTTCTCTGCAAAAGACACTGTAGTTTTTTGCTCAGCTGCCATACAGAAATTGAGGGGTTGGAAATGTTAAGTCATGAGATACAGTAACAGGAAGGCATGGGATGAAGGAGGAGGTTGTGGAGGGAGTGAGTTGTGCCTTCCCTGTGCTGCTTTCAGATCAGTAGTATTCCGTTTTAGTTTCCTTAAAGTATTAGGGTTTAGAGCACTAGTGTATAAACTTTTGATTCACTTGAAGTCACATGTGTAAATGAAAGTGGGTTTGTGACTTTGGAAGAAGGTTTGCCAGAAACATAGTTTAAGAACTGTTGTTACAGAAAATGATTTTGTTGTTCTGGAGAAATGTGAAAAGTCTTTTTTTCAAACTTGGAAAGGAAATAGAATTTTCAACAAGTGTTAATAAGTTGTGGCCTTCAGTTAAACTTGATGCTGAAGTGATGTGCAGTCACTTAGACAATGAATCAACTTGCTACAGATACACCAAAAGGCAATGGACACAAAGGAACAACTTTGGAAAACATATATACAACCTGTTAGATGGTAGGAGAATAAACTGTAGCAAATGGAGAAGAAATATACTATGCAGAATAAATAATCTGTGGAGAATGTGTGATCTGATTGTGACAGAATCTGCATAATGTTAAGCAGATACTTTTGCTATATTCTCAAACATCTGTCTAGCTGTTGCAGAACTCCATACAGCTAGTATTTACTGAATTTACCCAATGCACCGTTGGGGTTGCCCCGTAAGCATTTAACCTGTAGGAGTTGTAGCTTTAAGGTCTGGAGGGCTGTAGCAAGTTTCTTGCACTGCCCAATTGACAGAGTATATGTAACTTGGTTCCTGTCAGTCATGTTTTGAATGGGTGTTCTGAACACTGATTCTACAGAGTTTTAGTTCAGGTGTTGCCACATGTGATCCTGCAATATCTCTAAACCCTGACTAACATCTGTACAATTGTATGCCATCATTAGTCATTAAAAATACAGCAGCAGTTGTACTGCAGGGAGTTTGAGATGGCTGGTGATTTGACATGCAATTACTGTTCATGATGAATATTACCAGTTAGGTAACATCACGTGAACATTCAGTTTGCTGTTGCAAAATAAAACTACACAGCAATACAAACAGTTTATATTGTGTTGTATTGCAATATATCTGTTCTTTAATATTATTTTTTACTTCTTTTGCATGTACCTTTTGAGTGTTGGCTGGGCAATATGGAAGTCGCTGTCTGTCATTTTCCAAGTGGTAGCAGTCACTTTTGTCAAGTGATGCACATATTTGCTGTATTACAAGTGTGTATATCGAAATTGAAGCTGCAAGCACTTAGCTTTTTTACAATAAATGTGTATTGTAATCAGACAAGCAGGATGTAAGGGCTTAATTGCCTGTGCTGTTGTCACTTTACAACAACACAAGTAAAAATTTAAGTCATTGTAGCCAGATAAAATAGCTAAATTTTGAGTTTTAGCATTACAGCAGTAGAGCTGATCAAAAATCTTTGTTCTTGGGACAAATGGAAGTCAGCAGTCTTACAGAAGTTGGTCAGATGAAGTGAAGATTTCCAATATGGATTAATTTGGTTCCTATTTTAAGCCAGTGGACAGTTACAAATATTCTGTCTCTGGTGACAGTAGATATGTATGATTTTATTCTTCTTTTCAGAGTTCCGCCTGGTTCCTGCCTTGCTGATTTTCCTGGATTTCTGAATGTTTACTTTTTTTTTAAATGTATCTTGTCTTTTCTTGCTTACTTTTTAGGTGACAATAACAAACTAACAGAATGTGAGGAAATGACTTACCTGTGTACATTTGTTTGTCTGGTGCTATTTGATAGCTGGTTTGTTGCTGTTTGTTTGAAAGATTTGAGTCTTTCTGGTTATACATGTATACATGAAGTAACATTGCTAGTTTTACAGTATGTATTTCTGCTCATCTTGGATTTGTTGACTTAGTCTTTATGCACTTATTTTTTTCTGGCATCATATGGCACTTGCTGTTTTTTTCTGCTTAGAAAGTGTGATCATAGAGAAATAGATAGGGTAAGGTCACATAATGTTTTTGTTGACAGCTTGGTGGTAAAAACTAGCAGAATTAAGGAGATAATGGTTTGCGCTTCCAGACTACTGTAGTTGTGTTTAACTTTTATTGTGGGTAGTACTAAATATATTAACAGTAGGTAAGTCAGCTTTCTGTTATTTTGGCTGTGCGTACAGTAGCTTTGAAATGAAAGCTTCCTACTATTCAAACTTTAAAGGCTAATTAATTTAAAAACTGAAATAGTTGTATTGTATACCTTATGACTGAAACAAACTGATGGGAATGTAGGATTATAAAAAAACAATTGGCAAGCTTCTAAAAATAACCCCCCTAAAAGCTGGAGGGAAATCTTTTTCTGGCAAAGGACCAGAGTAATACTGGAATGCTTTCCAGTATTTTAGTTCAGAGACTATTTTGCTTTGCACAGTGGGAGGCTTTGGTAAAACATCATGTGTTTGCATATCGAGTTACATTTGATTATTCATTTTAAAAATGTGTGTGTGCCTGTGGGTAAAATAGAGAACAAAAATGAAAGGGAAGACAGACATAAAGTTTCTAAAATTGAGCACTCCGACTACTACCTTAAAATTCCGTTTGCTTTTATGTTCATGACTTAGTCTTTATCATGATCACATGTAATTTTTTTTCCATGTGAGCACTACATCATTCAGTTCACAGGATAGATGGTGAACTGTAGTTGTTAAATATTGTGTGTTTTGGTTTGTTTTTTTTTCTTCCTTGTTGTTCTCTGCTTAGTCTCTGGCATTATTACTCCACACTATTCAAAATGTCATTGTAAACAGAAGGATTTGAGTTTCTGTAGCATTCATCGCTATAGTGCTTGAATGTTTTACAGTTATTGTTAACATGCTTTCTCAGTATGCAATGAGATGAATAGAAGACGTACTGCTATTCCATTATTGTTACATTTCCACAGCTTTTAGAGTCTTTAATTTTGAAATACTTTGCAGTTTTGTTTGCATCTTTTTTGACACACAAATGCAGTGTTTCTGAATTCTCTCCTCCCTCTTGGTGGCAGGAGAGAAAGCATGATGATGTGCCTCAGCTGCCTGGTTACCTTTTTCTCATTAGGGAGAATTATTTTTCTCTCCCTCTCTTTCCCCTTTCCCCCTTTCTTCTTTTTTTTTTTTTTTTTTTTAGCAGTTTCATTGTTTATGTGGGTAAATAAGGACACGTGTTTTAAACCATCAATGTGTATTTCAAACTGGTGTGTGTTTCATAAGGAATACAGCATTGCAAATGGAATTGGAGAATGTGGTGGGTTGTCCCCGACCAGCAACTAAACACCCACACAGCTACTCACTCACTTCCCCACCCCTAGCAGGATAGGGGTAGAAAATAGGAAGAAGAAAAGCAAGAAAACTCATAGGTCAAAATTCAGACAGTTTAACAAGTGAAGGAAGTGGGGGAAAAACAAGCAAAACAAAGGAAATTGCGCACCACATCCCAAAGGCAGACCGATGCTCAAGCTAGCCTCCAAACAACAGCCACCTTGGAAGCCAAAACCCCCTTCTTCTTCCTCTACTCTAGTTTTTATCATTGAGCATGATGTTACATGATATGGAGTAGCCCTTTGGCCAGTTCAGGTTGGCTATCCCATCCATGTCCCATCCCAGTCTCCTGCCTACCCACAGCCAGCTCTACTCACTGTGGGGGCAGATTGGGAAAAAGAGAAAGCCTTGACCCTGTGCAAGGACTGTTCAGCAATAGCCAAAACATTAGTATGTTATCTGCACTGTTTTAGCCACAAACCTAAAACACAGCATCATATTGGATGCTATGAAGAAAGTTAACTCCATCTCAGCCAGTTCCAGTACAAAGGAAAAATACCCAAAGAAGCTGGGAAAAGGAAATTGGGCATTTATTGATTAAAAATACAAGGAGAAAAAAGGGGTATATTAGTGAATACTAGGCCTTTGGGACAATGGTCACCAGGATTCCACTGAACTACACATGCACAATCAAAGAGAATTTATTTATACTTTTCTATTCAGTGTTTAAAAGTGTTCCAATTTAATTAATGTGATTATAGCCCAGTTAAACCATGTCCTGTGTCTTGCATGTTGTGGACAATGCTTACTCCTGTTTGCACAGATGACGTTTAATTCCTTGGCAAAGGCATTCTAGAACTTAAACACTGATCTTTTCAGTGATTCATGTTAAAAATTCAAAATTCTTGGCAGTAACAACAGGTATTTTCTTGAAGGTCTTCGTCCTGGCAAATACTTACATGGTTCACATCATAACATACAGCTGTCTCAGTGGCATTGCTGAGCTTTACCTAACACTACTTTGAAGTAAAGCACTTGACTTAAGTATGTGGGAGGTGAGACAGAAGATGCAAACTATCTCATGTTTGTGTACAGAACTGAGATTAAAACTTAGATCTCTTGAGTGGCCACTCTAGTCCCCTACATACTTGTCTGTACTTCCTAACCCAGGTGGCAGTATTACCAGTATACTGTGTTGATACAAGAGCATGTTGAGCAAGGTGTGTATACTTCCTATCACATAATGACTGAAAATTTGCGTTGTTAAAGATGAGGGTTGTTTTGTCTCTACTTTTTTACTTTCTTTGTGGAGAGCAGTCATTTTTAAAATATACTTTAGTCTTTTTATGTTAAATTCCTTTTTATGTCACAAAGTTGGAATTATGACATAACTGCAGAATTAAATAACAAGCAGTCATCTGCAGGAGGAAGCTACTTTTCCTTCAAACCTGTGAAATGAAAAAAACAAAATGGAAGCTCCCCTAGAGCTTTCTGTGGAAAGAAGTAGTAACTCTGTAAGCCTTTGCAGGCTTTCATCTCAGTAAATTTCCATGACAGTAATTACAGGAAATGGAATCCCCATCAGCTACAGTCTGTAGCCCTCCTTTTTGGGGTTGAATATCGGTTCTTGTGAAACTGAAGAGGAAAAATACAAATAAAGTGTTGATAGTCAAAATTTGACAGGGTTATTTGGTTCACACAGCGTAAGACCATGAACACTTTTAAATGTTTCCGAGCATACTGTATGGTTTCAGTAATTTTTTGTGCATTGAGAGTGTGTTCCGTGAGCCATGGCTCGACTACCTCTTCATTCTTCTGTGCAATAGTATCTGATGACTTATTGGGGTTAAGATATTATATTGTTGATATGGCATTCTGCATATAAAAATCAATGTTGATTATGGAGTTGAATTTCAAAATGCCATATTTTGAATTATTAATATCAGAACACATTTAACATTTTAGCATCCGAGAGCAGAGATGGCTGTATGCTTTTTTCTTATAGCAGATATGTTAAATGAAAATGAAGATCTTGAAAGCAAGTTGTCACACAGCTGAAATTATTTTGATTCTTGACACTCCACAATAACTAAGTCTACAAAATCAATGTGATAGCAATCATTTTCATACCTACAATACTACAATTTCATATGCATACTTCTATGCGAGATAATTTTGGATTTGTAAAAGTTCTATCAAACTTCAAACAAACCATGCAGGATTGCAGCAAGCACCAATAGAACTTATTTATAGCTATCATAAAATATTCAAACTGTAGCTGATGTCCCATACTATCTGATTTAAATACTCACTTTTTGATTCTTTTGAGTTGTCATTAAACAGAAGTGCTTTCAGAAGTGCTGTATTAGTTTGAAGTTTTGTTACTGGTCATGTACTGCTGGATACATTCACACTTTGTACTGGAGAATGTGTATTTTTTAAATAGTGGGTATAGTGTATGTCTTCCATCCCCATCATTGGTTTCTCCCTGCCTTGTGCCAATGTTAATGTTTGACGCATCACACTTAAGAGTTGGAGCAGGGAGCTGGTATGGATAGAAGCAGGAAATGTGTACTTAGTTGAGTTGGTTATAGATGTTCACCTGCTAATGGCTTAGTGAAGCAGGTACCAGCTAAAAATATAAACCATTTTGTTGTGTATTGGATTGAATTTCTTTTTTTTTTTATATATAACCTATTTCTAGAAGTCTTTTTTTTTCAATCAATACTGTAACTGTTCCTGTGAGATTTTAATTAGAATAATGGTTATAAAATGTGCAGTACAAGAGCTTAGGCTTCCTTTTAGGACTGAAAACTGTGTTTTCATATTATTTTCTACTGGTTTCTAACCTTTATTATTATTCATAACTCTGATGTGGGACTATAAGAAAGTCTCTGTTTCATGATAAAGTTTTTAATTCCTTTTTTCTTCAATTGATTTATTTCTATTTATTGGCTTCCAAGGTGGTGATGTAATCTGATTTTTTATTTCACATCCACCTCTGTAATTTCAAAGTTTCATATACATTTCTTTATTTTCTCCCATTCCATTTGCAGAGGTTGATTAGAAGAACTGTTTTCTCTAACATCTACTGCATTTCTGGGACTTCTTTTTACACATGTTTAAGCGTTAAAAAGTTCTTAATGTTTTATCACGTGAATGATCTGATCAGATTGATTATTGTGACTATAAATTATCTTTCATGAATGTCTAGTTTAATATAGATCATACTGGTTTGGAGCAGAACACCGAGACAGGGTCTGGTTTAATAAAGCACCACTTTATGTATTTAATGCCAAATGAATGCATATATACTCAGAATATTTTAATTGTTTATAGTTGATGTAAATGCTTTCTTCTACTTAAAATCAAGCTAATTTCTGCCCTGTGGATATGCTGCTTTGTCACTGTGTAGATAGTGGTTATAGTTTAGGTATTACTGTTTGTAAGCTAAGGAGCAGTAGTACCTTAACTCTTAGAGTATGTACTCCAGAGGTTATGTACAATGTGATTATGACTGGGACAAAAGTAAGGACAATATGTGTTATATACATTGAAATACTTACTGCATTGGTGAGATTGTACTGTTGATTCAAAAAATACATGTATGTATTTATATAATAGTGTATAGGCTTGGTTTTTGGCTGTGTTATATACGGAATGAATTTTGTTGCTTATTTCTAGGAAGTGGCTGTTTTTGTCTTTGATAAGAAGCTAATAGACAAGTATCAAAAATTTGAAAAGGATCAAATTATTGATTGTTTAAAACGAGGTGTTCAACAGCTAACCAGGCTTCGACACCCTCGACTACTTACAGTTCAACATCCATTGGAAGAATCCAGGTAAGCTATAGTAAAGTTGGGAACAGACTTTCTTAATCGTGGTTTTGTTATTGGATGTAAAATATCTGGAATATTCAACACATACATCTGATGAGATTCAAGTTTGCGGTATTTACTCATGTGAGAATGGTATTCACCCCACCTTCAGATTATTCCCCGCCCCCCAAGCCATATGATGCATTTCTGGTGTGAATCTTGTGAATCTGATTGATAATCTATTGCATGATCTTAGTCCAGTTGCAGCTGTAAGGCTACACATGACCCTTACAGCATGAAAATTTGGTAGTTCAATTAATTTCACTTTTAAAGAACTATCTTAAAAATTGTTTTCTTTCAAAAAGTTGTTCATACATTTGTTCCATTTATGAGATGTATGTGCTTAGTGCATGTGAGATTGGAGATTTTTGGTAAATTGTGTGAGTTGTTGCCACATACATGTTTAAAAGGTCCTCAAATGCCAGTCAAGGGAGACGAAATTCAGTGTGCTTTGGTAGTGCTTATTTGAGTCATGTGAGGTTGGTCACCAGGTACAATAATGGGTTAGTTTTATAGATTTATCGTGCAACTGTAGTGATAACAGCACACTAAAATCTGACAAATAAAATGAAGGTTTCATGTTAAAATAGAAAGCTGATCCTGATCGTACTGAGGAAGATCATGAAGATTTTAGATATTTTTTTTTCCAAAGTAGTTTTTCTAAATGGTAGCCTAATAAAGATTTAATGTATATCAACTTTCAAACTTCTATATTTTTGATTGTGTCTGTTAACCTGCATTTTTCCAAATGTACTGGCTTCTAGGAGCTGAGAATACTGTAGGAATGCTTCTTCATTTTTGCAATGCCTACTCTGGGAAAGATTTCTTGAATTAAATGACACTTGCATGTTCATATATATCTTTGCTGCAATACTAAACAAGGTTTCAAAGCTGTCATTGACCCTATGGTTCAGTATGCCCCTCACAAAAGCCTAAGAAAGACTAATTAGGTAATTGAAGACAGCTCTCAGTACTCTACAACAGTAAATAAACTATTACACACTAAAGGGCCTAGGGTCATCTCAGTCATAGTGTGTGCAAGTGAATCCCAGAGTATACCCCAGGCTTCTTCCTAAGACTGTCACAGTGTTTTGATTGACCGGGCAACTGCATCTGCAATTATTTTTTCCCTGAACTATGCGTGTCAGAAGAAAAGGCTAAGCTTCATATCTTGGAGTGTTAAGACAGCTTTGACTGCCTTCTTGTGAAGAATTTAAGCCTTTTGAGTAAAATTAACAGTGTAGTTATGTCAGAGTTCTTGTTCATGAGTTTTTAGTTATGTTCTGTGCTTTGCTCCAATTGTTCTTTCTGTAGTCAGCATACTCAACTACTGGTAGAAACACCAGCTTCTGCAGTATTCAATTGCTTTAATTACATTTGCCCAGTCCTTCCATTACTCTGGTTTGGGTCCTTATTTAGTTAGCTCCTAAAGTAAAAAGTAACAGCCATCTTTTTATTCCCTCAAAACAACAGCAATCGGCGAGTTTATGTTATGAAAACCACAAAATAACTGTTCCCTAGGTATTTTCTATTGTCTGTGCCTTAACCATAACTAAATGTGTAAGTTCTATGGTAACATTGAAGTCAGATTGAAAATCAAGGACTTTGTCTTTCTGTGGTCTGATTCTTCCTTGTGATTACTATAGAAATGAGTTTTGTAGCCCTAGTTGTATTCATAGAAACATGGAAAGGATGGTGTTAACAGAATGGTAGGGAGGAAACCAAGCAAAGGAGTTCTGTCAGGTTGGCTGACCCTTATGATTCAATGTATTTTAATTTTCAGTTGTTTTTCCTTCAGGAAGGCGGTAGATAAAACTAAAGTAAAACTAAAATCTGGATGAGTAATAAGAGGTTTGCGTGTTTCGTCAACCTTATTTTGCTTCAAAGAGCAAGCTTGTTAATTATTGATACACATAAAAACTATGTGGTAGATTCATGCTGAGGCATTGTATCTTCTGTGATATTTCTATGGAATGAACAAAAAGTTAGGCCCTATAACTCTATATTCAAAAATACGTCTTTATTACTGTTATTCAGTCTCAGTTTTCTGTGTTCATACTGATGCAGTATTTAGCGTTCACATGAATTACTCATCCTTAAACCAGTTAAGTGTGCTACCGTCCATGTAATGCTTTCTCAAAAAAAACTTTAAAACAGTTAAGAAGTGAGATGCAATGACTGTCAAGGGCCTCCATTGCTGTGCAGACCAGTGTGAAGAATGTGGATATAATGAATGACTCTGTCTGTGTTACATGAAGTTTGTGAAACTGAGATACACATTGTTTTCAGGACTTTGAAATTGGAAATTTTGAAGCACAGTGTTACAACTAGTCCACTTTATGTGCAGAAGTTTGCTTCGTCTGTGCTTTTCAAGCACTGTTGACACAGAAATGCATAAATAAGACCTGTAGTTTTTCATGAAGAAAACAATACATAAAATAATTTAGAAAACAGTCACTTCACATGCAAACTGCAGTTCATACAACAACCATGTTTGTGTTTGCACCTCTTCTGTTCATTTGCAAAGTAAAAGAATATTCAGGTGCTACCTTACATTTTATTAATTTTGTTTCTGATCGTTGTCTGACCAAATTAAATATTGCTCCAGTCAGGGATGTGTCAGTTTTACGCACAGCTAAAAGCCTGATTTTACAAGTTTTGATAATAGTAAGAATTATTTGTTTGATTTTCCTGGATCAGGAGGAGAAAAGCATTGTTTTGTTAAAACTTTTTGTGAAGCATTGTGTGCATCATTAGTCATGTATGTGAATGTCAGAGATTAAAATAACTTAATTCTAATATTTTTGGATGCTTCAGATATTTATGTCTTTCTCTTTAGTGTAGTATTACTTATAAGAATTGAAAACCTGAAATATAACATGGTTTTACGTGGCACTAAGTGCTCTGGTAATGTATAATATGATGTTTGTATGGTTCTTTATTTGCAGTCAAGTTATTTATTACATTTGTTTACAATAGATGTTTTTATGTATTTTCTCTACAGGGATTGCTTGGCATTTTGTACAGAACCAGTCTGTGCAAGTTTAGCTAACGTTCTTGGCAGCTGGGACAACTTGCCTTCTCCTTTACCATGTGACATTAAAGAATACAAACTTTATGATGTGGAGACCAAATACGGTTTGCTTCAGGTATGACACAGGTTGTCCTTATAATTTTCTTGGGCTTTTAGTATTAATGATTGGTTTATAAAGTTTGTAAACTGCCAATGTTTTGTCTGCCTATAGTAAATCAAATAATTGGAAAGTGAGAGATGATAGTGCCCTGATCACTGTAAGTAGAAGAGAGGATGAACACTGGAGGCTCTAAATTGCTACTCTTTTTGCTTATTCTGACTTGGAAAATACAAAATCGAATCAATTTTTATTTACCGTATAAATGCCCATGCTACAGCTGTCTCTCTCATATGTGAATCTTTTCTTTACCTTCTATGGAGGAGCAGTAGCTCCCAGGTTTTATTTGATGAATATGCTGATCAACTTTGAAAAGCGTTTTTGTTCTTATGCTGTGATAGTTAATCAGCATTAGTAGTCTCATCTGCTGATTACACATCTGTGTTTAATTTCCTTCATACATAATTTTTAAGACATAGCCTAAAATAGTGGTGAAAAATTGTTTCTTAGTTAACTTACCAATTTAACCATGACCACAGGAGCAGAATTTTTCTAAAAGTCTGACAGGATATTTGGGGAAATATTTAACCTGAAAGAATAATCTTTTCTTTACAGGTTTCTGAAGGTTTGTCATTTTTGCATAGCAGTGTGAAAATGGTCCATGGAAATATTACTCCTGAAAATATAATTTTGAATAAGAGTGGAGCATGGAAAATTATGGGCTTTGATTTTTGTATCCAGTCCACAAATCCATCTGAACAGGAGGTGATAGATCTTTATATTTATCATCATTAAATTTCAAATTCAGATCTTTGTCTGAAACCAGTTGCATTTCAGTAGAGAATCATTTATTTAATACTTACATCTATATTTTGTTGGCAGGAAGTTTGAACATACAGCACAGGTCTGGATTGAAGTGCTGCCTTTGGTCATCACAGAAAAAGAGCCTGAGTTGACTCAGTGGAGTCAAAATAGACTAGTGATCGTTTCAGACAGAGGCTGAAGCCTGTGCTACTTCTCCTCACCTGCATGCTGGATGACATGAAAAGCTATCTCATTTAGTCTGTTACATCCATGCAGTGCCTGGTTGCTACCTCCTAAAATGAATTCCCATCATAGCTCGTGTTTCCTTCTTACAGCAGTGCTTTGACTTTACATTACACTTCCCAACTCTAATATTCAGACTTAACTGCATCAGCTAATCACTCTAAGCTACAGATGCAGATTCTTAACAGTTTTGCCTTACTCCATTTGTGTTTCATTCATAACTGAATTTGAGTGGATTAATTATTTTTTGCTGCTCGAGTTTCTTATTTAAAATCTTCTATAAAAATCCCTAATAAATGTGCTTTCTTTTACTTCTCTTGTAGCCAAAATTCCCTTGTAAGGAATGGGATCCAAACTTGCCATCATTGTGTCTTCCAAATCCTGAATATCTGGCACCAGAATATATTCTCTCTGTGAGCTGCGAGACAGCCAGTGATATGTACTCTCTAGGAGCTGTTATGTATGCAGTGTTTAATAAAGGGAAACCAATTTTTGAGGTCAACAAGCAGGATATTTATAAAAGCTTTAGTAGACAGCTGGATCAGGTATTTGTTCTATTTGTGACTATTATTAGTTGATTTTCATGTTTGAAAAGTTAACTGTTTTAAAATAGATTAAAATACTTACAACACAATACCAGTGCTCCAACATAAAAAATCTGATAATGGTATCTTACCTTGCATGCTATCTTTATAACAAGAAAAAAGAATCCAAATAAAAATATGTGTAGAGAAGGTTACATGTACCAACTTTATACACTACAAATTTCATTTTTTCACCTAATTTCTCTAAACCTGTTGAATGCTGGTCTTGTGGAATAAGTACTTTACCTGCTGGGGTTAACATTGTGAAACACAAGGTAGTGAATGACCTATGTAGGACCATTGCAGATGTCCAAGTTTAGAGTGATTTGAGTGACATTGCAATTGATATCCAGTTAGCTATCAGCTATTTCACATTCTTTGTGGACTATGAATATTGACAGAAGAGAGTTACTTGGGTCAGCTGACATGATGTACATTCATATGCAAGTTTTCTTTGTTGTAACTTCTGTGGGTGCCCATTGCCTTAGTTGTGTGTACTGTGTTTTAATGTGTGTAGACAACACCTCAGATAATAACATGTACCTGTTTAAAAATACTGGGTTTGTGTTCTCTGATAACCTGAACACAATGAGAAGCTGGAAATAGGGGACTGTGACCTGAAGCAGGTAGGCAGTTGGGAGACAGAAAGAAGACTATGAGGGATCAGAAGCAAATGGGTTATAAGAGGGGACAAGGGAGGGATATCAAAGGTGTGGGTAGAGAAACCATCAAGAGGACAAAGTACAGTCCTGTTGTATATTGGAAATAGTTATATGCAGGATTTTCTGACTTCATGGTGCATATGCTTAAATTACTTACGCAGCTGAGCCGTTTAAGCTCCAGTACTCTTCAGAATATACCAGAGGAGGTGCGTGAACATGTAAAGCTACTCTTAAATGTAGCTCCAGCAGTCAGACCAGACGCAGACCAAATGACTAAGGTCAGTTCATGGAAAATACAGTAGCCATAGGAAAGAGGGAAAATAGTATTTGATTTGTAGAAACAATGAGCTATTTTAAAGTGTTTTTCTGTTAATCGTTTTAGTTGAATTGTTAAATATTTTTAAACTATTTTAGAATTAATGGTGTTAGTTGGTGCCAAAAGTTGTCCTTATGCTGACCTTTATTAATATGGTAGAAGTGGGTACTGAGACAGAATTTAGAATAATCGTTCAATGCAACACTATTTTATTGCTTTCCAATACAGTTGGAAGTATTTTCTATGCTATGTTTTTATACAATTCAGTCTTTAAAATGGTATTGGAAGGATTTTAAAGCCATAAAATTATAAAGGATTAACTTTTGGCTTATGATTTTCGGTGTATTCTTAAATATGCAGAAGAATAGCGTAAAATATATTTGGAGCTTACTTGCCATAATAAAGCAAAAATCAATTGCAAGTAGGATAATTTAAGTTTTAATTTGACAACTCTTCCTCCGCTTTCCTATCTGAAAGTAGAACTTAGAAGCGTGATTCTTCCTTTGTCTTATACCCTGTTTTCTCCTGTCTGATAGCTTTTCAGCTTCTTGCGTATAGATTTGCTTAGCTAAACAATTTTCTTCTTTTCCTGTCATATAAAAAGATTTTATGCAGAGAGAGAAATCAGTGTCTTAACAGTTGGAAGAAATAGTGAGTGAAGAAGGGAGGGGGAACAGGCAGCAGTTCTGCCAACGTACATGCTGAAAGATGGGAAGCGAGGAAATTGGCAAATATTTCTTAGGTATCAAACTCACTTGTCTGAAGGACTACACAAACAGATCTGTAAATGGTTGTGTTAAGCAGTCTGGTTTTATAAAGACGTTAAGTCTCTATTACCACGTGTGTACTGCAGACTGAATTGTAGGGTAGAGATAGTAGCATTTTAGTTCTAAAAGCAGTTTGTTATGGCCAGCATGACATGAGCTAAAATGGAGCTTGACATGGGCAAGTTTACCTTGCTAGTTTTAAGTAGCTTTTGTTAACCGGTGTAGAATTCCACGATCAAATACATTTTGGCATGTGATCTAGAAGAAAGAATTTAAGTCCACAGTGCGGACTAGCTTGAATTCTCTGCTGATAGATGCTTTTCTTCTGCATTGCCCTACTCCAGTCTGTTTTTCTGATTCTTTTTTTCTTTATTGGTGTACTCTTACTGGCTTCTCTTCTTGCCTTACAGCAGAGCTTCTTTAAATGTTTTTATATCCTTTCTTTCTGCACAAGTTTTTCAACTGAAAACAAGTGTCTAAATAGTCTGAGAGACCGTGCTTTGTCTTTAACTGTTGCGAGCCTGTGAGGTTTGATATATCCCTCCCTAAAACTGAGAGCTAGCAGGAAGGAGGAATCTTACCCATGCAAGTTTTTGAATGCAGAACTTTTCATTCCAGTCTGTATAGGTCTGGGATAGACACTCTTCTACTCTTTTTGTTTATTTGCTAACTGAAAGCAGAATGTTTGGGGGGATTTTTATATAAACAATCTTGTTATCCTCATGCATTTTTATCAGTCTTCCATTAATGATGAAGCAGCTCTGTCAGTATTAATATCCATGGCTATAGATGAAACCCCCTGGTGTTGGTACCATGTTTATAAGCCTGGTCTATGTATACAAATTGTTACACAATACTTAAGAAGGCCTGTGCCTTCTTTGCTGAAGTAGTGCAAACATGGAAGATCATATGACAAGTTATAGTGGACAGGATTTACAAGTGAGTCTGAACATTGGAGAGAAATTTATATAATTACACATTTGTTGCATATAAATGCTTGTTTATTCATTATAAGTTTCCAGGGGTGTTAGCCAGATCTGGATGGCCTAGTAGGTAATCCTTTGTGGTAATACTAAATAGCATAATTATTCCTAGGAGAACTTTTAATCAAGGTTTTTACTTTTTGTTCCGTTTTTTGTAGACAAAATATTATTTCGTATACAATAAGTTAACTGACACACACATAACTTGCGTGGGTTTCTTTAAAATGTTAGGAAAATTCCATCTTAATAATCAATGTTTATCTGTGAATATTATACTACTTAGTATGTAAAAATGTACTTTCTAATTGTTAGTTGCAAGTACGTCATTGTAAAGGTTTACTGTAGTGCATGGAAGAGGTAAATAGATTATTATATTTTGGAATCTTTGTAACAATATCAGTGTTGTCTCCCTCCAGATCACAAGCTTTTAATCTTATTTTTAGATACCATTCTTCGATGATGTAGGAGCAATGGCGCTTCAGTATTTCGATTCATTATTTCAAAGAGATAACCTTCAGAAATCACAGTTTTTTAAAGGGCTACCAAAGGTTCTGCCAAAACTACCTAAGGTATGTCTGTATGATGTCTTGAAATAGTAAGTTCAAAAATATGTGAACATCTATTAAAATTACAAATTTTTTTTTGTGTAGCATTGTACCATAATAGACTGCCTTGAGACTGTCAGAATAGAGTAGCAGGAAAGAAGGGGAGATTAGAAAATAATTGGTGTGGAAATACTCCTCGGCTATCAATAATTCTTTAAATAGAAAATGGCAAATTGTGCTATCAGTATGTGTAAGAAACCATCATTTGCCTGTCCTCTTGTAGTTCATCCCACTTTGAAAGGGAGTTGTCTTCTTTCCACTTAGGAGACTTTCCCTTTGTTTCCAAATGCTATCATAGCTCTTTGAAGTCATCTTGCCACCTTTTCTCCCAATAAGATTGCTTCAAATTTTTTCATAGCGAGGCAGTACTTTAATGTTGAATGATGTAAAGCTTCCTTCCCTCAACAGACTAAGTGCTTTCTTGTGCTAGGAAGCGCCCAGAAACCTCAAAGGCAAATGTCTGTTGTTACAGATTTCTTCCGTGTAGTGTTAGACACTATGTCTAGACTGAATCCTTTTCCTTTTGTGGTATTCTTTAATTTATATAAGGCATAAAGCATATGTGATAGAAAAATAGTATTAGTTTAATACATAAGAGAATAGCTGAGGTTCTCAACCATTGCATTAAATTTCTTTATTTTTAATTCTATTTTGAACTACGCAGTGCAAAATTCAGACTTCATGTTTAATACTCTCTCTTTTATTTAGTAATTTTTTCCTTTGATCAGAAATTGTTGATGCTTTGAACTTGGAAATAGATGGGATGTGTTTCACCTAACTTTAGACAGCCACTGACTGACCTTATAATCTTTAGGGAATTCATTTTTTTGTCTGTCTTGAAAGTATATTTTATGAGGGAAGGGACTGTGCCCTTGAATTGTGTGTTTCTCCTTATTGACCTCAAAAGCATTTAAGGATGTCTAACTCTACAGTAGACATCTACAGTGTAAATACCTATTTTGTCAGTAGAATCCCATTTAGGGAATGTACCTGGAGTTTTAGAGGGAGGTATAGTAGGACGATGCGTTGGTTCAGTGAGTGATGGGGTACGGAAAAACTGATTATTTTTGGGGGGGTGATAGACTCTTTTTAGGGTCTTTTTTAAGAAAGCATATAAAATGAGATTTTTATAATTCATGTATGTGGCTGAAAGTCCTATTTTCTGTACAGTTAATTGCTTTTTGTTGACCTTCACAGTTGTTATAGTCTGCAGTTATGTTTTGAGTGCAAACAGAGAAAAGTAAGCAAAGTAGCACAGTGTATATTAGCTATACTGTGAAAATAAGAGTTCAAAATCGAAAATTGTCTGTCTACTTTTTTGTACATATCAAGTTAATACAAAAGCTGTTGAACTGGCACAGTAGTAACTTACTGCAATGCAGTACAATGTGACGCATGCTTGATTTTTTTTCTTTTAGCGTGTTATAATTCAGCGAATTTTGCCTTGCCTGACTTCTGAATTTGTGAATCCTGATATGGTGCCCTTTGTCTTGCCTAATGTTCTCCTAATTGCTGAGGAATGCACCAAAGAAGAATATATCAGGCTTATTCTGCCTGATCTTGGTCCTGTTTTTAAGCAGCAAGAACCAATCCAGGTATGTTAATATTGTTCAGGTTACAACTTTTCTCTTTGGTGTTTTTTTCCCCTGAAAAATGACTAATTGTTCTATTTCCCTTTTCCAGCTTCACACAGGTTGCCCAGCCTGGTCTGTAGTTGTCCAGCCAGTCAGTCTCGATTCATACGAAATAGATTTTTTTCCAGGAAATTCACAAAACCTCTACCCCTGTTTTTTCGATGGGTTTTCTGAGGGTATATTTGCATTTATAGACAAGATTAAATTAACAAAAAAGGAAACATTTCATTTACTAAATTCTTATTTTTGCTTGGTTCTAGAAGGTGTATTTATAAGCGTTTTAGCAATTACCTAGTCAGTCTGACCAAGGTTGTACAGTACAATATTTGCACATATTCTACCAGTAGCTGAACCTATGACTTCTTTTTTTCTTATATCCAGATTACCAACACTGGGATTATGGGGTGGAAAAGTTGTAACTTTGACACTCTCTTAAAAGTGCTGTTTATTGATGATAGTAAAATAGTGTTTATTTGAGGGCTGTGCATAAATTTGTGAAATTTGTTTCATTTTATTTGACAAATGTATTGTGTAAGTAAAATATGCTTTTTCTGTGTTTACATGCATAACAGTAGTAAGACATCATTACTGTAAAGGAGCAAAACATTTGCATCCTTTTGTCAATGCCATGTGCATGATGATTCCTGAGAATTCTGTTACTAAGTTCAGCATTGTGCCTCCACAGATAAAAGACAGCAATGCATTCTTCCTGTCTCTCCTTGTTTTACTGCTGGATGCTATTATTTCTCTGCAGAGCACTTAAGGGGCAAGATAAACATAGGAATGAACAAGCAGACTTTTTTTTTTTGTGGGTTTCAGAAAACCGTATCAGAGAACTCTCATTATACTGAGAAGGGGGGAAAGGGGACAGTTGTGTAACTGAGAATACCTCAGAAAATTAGAACTGCTTAATGCTCGTTACTTTTGGTACACTGAGGCTTTATGTTAGCTTTGTTGTTGTCTTGAAAAAATTAAACATCTGACTGACTGAACGCCACTGAACATCTTATTTGTGCTGTTTCATCCTAAAAGGTAACATTGTGTTTTGCTACCTTTAACATCAGATCTGTGAGACAATCCTCACTGCAAAAAGTTTGTCTCAAAGTTATATCTGGAGCATAACGGGCACAAAAACTGTTTTATTTCTTGAGAAGTGAGGGAAGCAAATGCACACTTGGGGTCAGCTCATAAAGAGCAAGCTTTGCGAAGTTTTTCTATAGCTTTTTAGATGCTATATGTTAAATTCTTATGTTGACATTTTTAATGCACACTAAGTACTAGATGGCTTATTCCACTGTTATTTCTGTGGTCTTTTTGTTATGGCAAAGTTTAAGTAATCTAGGACAGGTTTTCAAAGTTATATACCAGGAATTCAGGGAAAAAATATAAAGATTCGGAGTGCCAGAGGACGGAATTCCAGTTCTGACTATCTTTGTGCAAGGCAAAAACATCCGGTTCCTGTGTGGTTGTAACTCATGGAGAGGGGCAGATGAGGATGGTGCTAGTGTTTCTTCCAAATGTTCTCTCAAGATCTTTTAGATTTGTATGAGGGGCCTGTTGCTTAGCTTTGAGTTAGGAAGTGAATGTGTCATAGGGAAGCTACTGTAATTCAGTATCAAGAAATTGTTATCCAGTGTTCACAATGTGTCCGTATGACGGAATTTATAATATGAAAATGGAATAGTTAGTTAAACTACTCATTCATATCGTACTCTTGGAGTTAGCATGGAGTAACAGGTGTGCTGTAAATTAACATCCTAGCTTACACTGACATAGCTTCCCAGTCTAGAGAAACCCTTAGTTTATACCTAAGGGAATCCATAGAGACTTAGCATATGATGTGTTGTAAATTCATACTCTAATTCAGTACACCACAGTGAACCCTGACAAGTACTGGGCTCCATGTTAGGGAATGAAGCACATCCTTAGCATTATTGTTTAGAGTGCAACTGCTGCTGCTTTCTTATTAGACGGTGTGTGTGAATCTGTGACTGTAACATCTTAGTTTCTACTTAAATAGATAAAAAGTATCAAGTACCACCCTAGAAAGCTAAAAATAAAAAGGGGTTCATTGGAACAGCACTAACTATGTTCTAGTTAAAGATGGGTAGAGAGAGCCAGCAAAAACGATTCAGCTTTATGTTATCTTAGTTGAAAAGCATTGACAGCCAGTGGAAAACAACTGAACTGCTTCTGTGAAATCTAAATGACTATATAGTACAATGTTTAACTTAAAAGCAGTCTGTTATATGTTCAGACATCTGGTTCTTATTTTAAAGGAGTTTTTCTAGTTCTTAAATAAGAGGTTTCATTCATGTCCTTTTCAAATTTGCAAAAACAATCTCCAAAACTTCTCCAAAACTCCATTTACTAACACAGAAACTGTCATGCCACAGTATTACAGGGTTGCTGGACAAGAGAAGAGCAGTGTTATGAGCGCATGTAGGTTTCAAAAAGCCAAGTTTAGGACAAATAAAAATTCTTTATGCAAGCATAATTATAAAATCTAACTTTAAAACTGCTCTGGTCCATCTGACTCTAATTCTGCAAATTTGGGGATATTGCATCAGAATAAATGTTCATGGAATGAATGAATGAGTTTGTGTGTGTATGTGTACAGTTTAGGTAGTTATACAATAATAAAACACACGTTAGTGCAGTTTAAAAGAATTTATTTTTATTCCCTGTAAAAGAAAGCAAATGAAAAGGGGAAACTTGTGATGTGGTCTTGGTATACTTTTATTTCTACACTTTGATACTTCTGATAATTTGACATACAAACATTGACTGAGACATATATTTAGACTTAAAAATTGAAATCTTTTCCTCCTATGAAATATTTGGATTTTTACTATTAATGTGATACCATTCACCACAATTTATCCATCTAGTCTAACCTATTTTCTAAAAGGAATCTAGATATCAATGGATAGTCAATGTCACCTGTAGCAAGTTGTCTCACCTATTTGAGATAAGACATGTTGCTCTCTGTATTGGAGGCTGAGCCTGAATGAGTAACTTAGAATAGTGGCTAGCTTTCAGATGGCTAAGCCTAAGCAAGGTGAATCCCACTATGTAAATGTGCTATTCTAATGTAGCTTTTTAGGTTAATGTGATGTGATTTTTTTTTTGTTTGGGATTTTTCATTTTATGATATACAATTTCCATATGAAATAGAATAAAGGTTTTTTGTGTCCATATAGTAGCTGTAATATCCTTTTCGTTGTGTCCCTATTTTGATTCTAGATACAGATGGAATACAGCTTTTATATTTGGAGTTGCGATCAAATGCTTTGAGGACAGCGTTTGAGCCATAGTTTTAAAATATTTAACTTTTTCAGTAGTGATGGGTATATAAAGGTTTTCTGTGGGTGGATTTTAACAAAAGACCATGTTGTAAATAGAAACAAGAACCCGTTCCTTAGCCATTGTGATTTCTTACTTCAGAAGAATTAGTCTAGAACATGCATATTTTGTTTGATTTGTATTTGCTGTTTTTAAAATGCAATAATATGACAAAGTGGTTTTTGTCTTCCATGCCTTCAGGCAAGCAACATGGTAAGTGATCACATTTACTGAGTTACAAGAAATCTTCTGAAGTTTTTGATATGATACAACACACTTTAAATTGTAACTACATGTTTCTGGAGTTAAAACTTTTGGCTTCTGAATTGTCCTTCTTTTAATAGATCTTGTTGATCTTCCTGCAAAAAATGGACTTGCTTCTAACCAAAACTCCACCAGATGAAATAAAGAACAGTGTTCTACCAATGGTTTATAGAGCCTTGGAAGCACCTTCAATTCAGATCCAGGTATAGCAATTGCAGCCTTTATTTAAAACTTTTTTTTTTCTTTAAGCTAATGTGCCAACTTTTTCTATACACGTGTGTTTGTTTATTCAAAAAGAAATGATAAAGCTGTGTAATATTCCTGAATGTTGAAAGAGATTAATGTTTTACTAAAGAAAATCTGGTTTAGTAAAATAAAATTTCGTTCCCTTATTTACCAGGGAGTAACTACTTGACTGTTGTTCTGTTGCCCTTATCCTAAATTCTTACTAGTTACCATAGCAAAAAGCAGTATGTGCATTTATAATACATTGCCAGCGCTGCAGAAACTATGCAGGCATGCATGCTCTTACGAGTCAGTGAGGGGTGGCTTATTCTGATGTCCTACTGATAAGAACATGTGTGCTGACAGTTACCTTGGAAGACTTGATTTGTTGTAAAATCGCATTAATATATGTTCTGATGACATTTTTATATTATCTGTATTTTAATTTTTGTCTTTATTCTTTCTCTACCTTTCTACGTTGTTTTTTTTTTTCTTTTTTCTTTTTTTTACAAAAGAATTCTTCTACTGGAACTAACTTCCAGTTACCCAAAGGCGTTCAGGAGTGGGAGGGGGAGATAAACAAACAAAATATTTCTTAAAGAAGGATTTGGATAATCAGATGTGACTTATACCTTTGCAAAGCCCTTGCAATATTATGGAGGAAGATTTTTATTTCTAAGTAACTGGCATGAGTTTTTTTCTGTATCAGTAGTTTGGTTACTCAGGTATTTACTTGCAACATATATTTAATATTGCTGTCTTATTTTTTTCAAATTTGGCTGATATCGGGTATTTTTTTTCACTGTTGCTTAAGTGTGTTTAATCTCGATATGCTCTTTGATCTTTCAGCCCATCGTGCTGCTGCATTGTTGTTGATAGTACTCATTCAGATTTCATAGAATCATAGAATATCAGGTTAGAAGGGACCACAAGGGTCATCTGCTCCAGCCTGTCTTGGCAAAAGCATGGGTGGCCCAGCACTCTGTCCAGCTGAATCTTAAAATTGTCCAATGTTGGGGAATCCACCACTTCCCTGGGGACATTATTCCCATGGCTGGTTGTTCTCATTGTGAAAAATTTTCCTCTTGTGTCCAGTTGGAATCTCTTGGAGTAACTTGTACCCATTACCCCTTGTCTTTTCCATGTGACTCCTTGTAAAAAGGGAGTCTCCATGTTCTTTGACTCCACCCTTTAAATACTGAAACATGGTGAAGAGGTCTCCCCTAAGCCTTCTTTTCTCAAGGCTGAACAAACCCAGTTCTCTCAGCTGTTCCTCATATGGCAGGCTTCCCAGTCCCTTGATCGTCTTTCTGTCCCTTCTCTGGACCCTCTGCAGCCTGTCCACATCTTTTTTGTTCTAGCAGAGATCAAAACTGAACATGATATTCCAGGTGTGGCCTGACAAGAGCCAGGTAGAGTGGGATAATGACTTCTTTATCTCTGCTGGTGACGCCCTTGTTGATGCAATGCAGCATCTTGTTGGCTTGCTTTGCTGCAGCAACACACTGTTCACTCATACTGAGCTTGTCCACCAGGACCCCCAGATCCCTTTCCACAGAGCTACTCCCCAGCCAGGTAGATCCCAGCCTGTGCTGCACTCCTGGATTATGTTTTCTGAGGTGCAAGACCATACATTTGTCTTTGTTGAACTTCATAAGG